CACACACACACACACACACACATACACACACACACACACACACTCTCACACTCACTCACATTCGCACACACTTATGTGAGCACGCACAAACACATACACACACGCAGACTCACACCCCGATACACGCTCACACGTAGGCTAACAAACACACTTGTAACACCTGTAACCTTCGGTAAAGTCGATCGAGGGAGCGGAGAGAGGGGGTCGATGAGAATGCAAGAGTGACAGCCTGTCAGTTCTATAAACCACGAGGTGACCCTGGTTGCAAGTGCCGTAAAACTCTTACTACAACTAAAAGATGTCGTGCAGTGAATTACAAATTTAATGCTATGCTTTTTTTTCTATGGTTATGTCTCCAGAGCTGCTGGAGATGAACTTTTGTAATATTGCTTTAAAAAAAAGAGAGAGCGTTGTTATTAATTTCAGCATTCTTTTATTCTCTCCCCGACTTGCTGTTTGTATAACAGGGCTTTTCCTTCTTTTTTTTCCTTCTATCCATCTTTCTTGCCTTGGTTTTTCATCCTTCCTTTCGTGCTCCTGTGCATGTGTTGCTTATTAATCCATTAATAGTTTATAATTCGTTTGTTCTTTTTTGGAGTTTACGTTCCTTATTTTATTAATATATTCATTTTTTCATTCAATAGTTCACCCATCCCTCCCTCCATCCATCCATCCATCCATCCATCCATCCATCCATCCATCCATCCATCCATCCATCCATCCATCCATCCATCTTCCGTCCGTCCATCTGTCCGTCCATCTACTCATCCATCCGTCTATCCATTCATTCGCCCCTCCACTCCGTCCAGCCGTCCATCTATCCTCCCATCTATCCACCTACCCACCCTTCCACCCATCCATTTAATCATTATTAGATATTTAATTTTGTCCTTCCTTTTTGTTATTAATTCCTTCTTTTTCTTGTAGCTCATAAATAAATAAATAAATAAATAAATAAATAAATATATAAGTAAATAAATAAATTCGTTCGTTCGTTCTTTCGTTCTTTCGTTCTTTCGTTCTTTCGTCCATCCATCCACCCATCCATCCATCCATCCATCCATCCATCCATCCATCCATCCTCCATTCATTCATTCGTTCATTCATTCATTCATTCATTCATTCATTCATTCATTCATCCATTCACTCATTCATCCATCGATCATTCAATCCATCCATCCCTTTGTTTGTTAATTAATTAATTAATTAATTAATTAATTAAATTAATTAATTAATT